TTTTGACCTTGGAATGTTTTGCTGCCTTTGTAGTAGATAAGACTGTGAGAACTGTTGATGGGGCCGTTCCCAATCTGGCTGGTGTGAACCAAACGGCTAAAGGCTCTCTCCCGCCTTGATTTTCTCCCACTCAAATGCCTGCTGAGTGCAAACTGTATTCATTGGCTAACCCTTTTTATTTGAACTGTCTATATCTGTACATGCTTGGCTTTGAGTTTAATTCCTGACAATGACCATTAAAGTGTATCAATAGTGACTTGTAATAAAGCAATCTATTCTTATGAATCGTTGTGGACTGCAACTGCTCTATTGAACCTGACACCCAGGGACAAAGACTGCCTTGGAACAGTCCCTGTTTTCCCGCACTTTTTGGCCTTGGGGCAGCTGGGAACTGTAGGCCAGCAGATGATACCCTTGCAGGCCCCTCTCTGGAACTACAGCTCAATTAAACCTTATGGGGGAACATTTTAAACAAAGAATCGCAGCCATCTTACAAACACAGGTAACTGCCATTTTGTTACACCTACCAACAGCCACTAAGGGGAAAGTTAGTTAGTCCCACACAGGAGGCAAGCAGGAAAAGACACAAAGCAGTTTGCCAGCACCCGGCCAATGGCACACGAGTACTCTTGAGTGGCGGCTGACGGGCCAATGGCTGAGGGAGCACATGGAATGTTGCCACTCAAAAACAGAATTATTATATAGAGATATACTTACCTTCTCTGAATTTCCAGATCTTCTTGTGATGGGCCATTTTGCACTTGTGGGGGAAGTTGTGCACTTTGTCGAGGCAGCGTTGGACCTAGAAAAAGATAGAAATTAGATCTCATCTTTCAGGTTAGTGTATAAAGGTTAAAGCAAATGCAAAAGTCAACTTTTGGTCATCAGCTTTCTTTACAGTAAAGCAAAGCACCTACAGCAGATGAATAAAATAGCACCATGACCAATAGGCTTTACAGTTTTTCTAAACAAGTTTACTTGCAAATGGATGAAGAACTCAAAAGGAATACACAAGCTCTCTGTGGTAGCTCAGCTCATTAAAACTGAACACAATTCCATGAACTCTATGTTCTGCCAAACTATTGTTAAACAAATGTCAGATTACAGGGTGAACAAGACTCAATTCAAGAACCTACCTAACGGAACACCAAAACAAGAAATAGGGGGGATATATAAACACAATTGAAATACAAAGATAGTAACATAATATTGAGGTCTTATTAAAAAACTTATTTTTAAATTTTACATTAAAGGTACAAGTATTTTTTAAAAACAGATTAAAAACAATATACAGCTATCACTTCTACAGTTTTTTTCATTTTGCAGCTCCTCTGGTTTTTGATCAATTGCTTCTTCTTCCATTTGGCTTCTTGTCTTAGTCTTTTTTAGTGTTTTCAAAGTATTTAATTTCTCCCTCAATGGTGCTTAACCTCTAAATACTCTCTGTATTGTGCGGGGACATGCCTTCTATCAATTACAATTGATCCAAGTCCTCCAGACAGCATCATAACCTAGCATTGAGACAGCAGTTTCTTCATGCAAATTCTCTATTAACATTGACTTACTAACTGAAAATCCACTTTCAACTGCAGAATTACCATGACAAAGGATAAAACATATCTTGAAAACATTCCACAAGTCTGAGAAATTCTTGTTGGCTATCAAAATACCACTGTATAATGTATCCAATTCAACTTCATCATCTAGTTTTACCATGTATGCTTAAAACTGAGCTTTGAATTCATTGTGGGCAGCTTCGGTTATTGCTGCTTTAAGTTTCAGCTCTTGTGCCATTGATCGATTTGCTGCATGAAGGTCAATATTATTTATTTGATATATGGCAAAATTACACACAGGAAACACATAATAATATAAAATATATACCCAAGTTGATACAACAACAGATTGAACAATCATACTAAATACTCTCTAAATACTCTCTAATATCTAAATTTTCAATCTACTCAATCACAGCTGAGGAAACTTTAAAGAACTCTGTCACATCTCCCTGGAAAGCACGACGCTTGCATTCATGTGACAGGTAAAAAATAGTTTGGCGGGCTGCACTGCAATCATATTTGGGCCCTGGTATTTTCCCCATTTAAACAACAGATCTGCACATCTGCCAAAGCGTACTCGTACTCATATGACATGTCAAATCCTGCAGGCCTCTTGCTCATGTTTATCAGGCTATGGATATTGGGTGGAACTGACTGCATCAATGTTCATGACCATTCATTCCTTAGACTGAAATTTTGTGATTGCAGGATTTGTGCAGTCCTTATTGCACAGTGTCGGGAACCTAGGCTGGGTAAAGTCGCATCAGCAATGTCTTTGTGAATAGGCAACTCTCTGTTTTTGATGATCTTTCTATATTCACAAAGAAGGGCATCCTGTCTTTGGAGATGCAGGGGCGCGATGCGGCACAATGTAGATTACCAATAGATCAAAGTGGGTTTAATAAATTCACTGGTGGTTCTTATTGTGGCATTAGGTTGGACATCAAGTTTGTGAACATGGGGGCTGTTGAGACACACTGAAGCATCATATTCCGTAATACTATAGATCAGGTATGTCAAATGTGCGGTCCATGGGCCGAATCTGGCCCACACAGGGCTCAAAATTGGCTCCCCAAGCAGCTTCCTTCTCCTGCTTCCTTTCCCAGGGCTGCTGCTGCAGCCACACCCTAGCTTGCTTTTTTCCCAGCTCTCTCAGTGAATACAATAAAGTGGATGCATAGCCCTTCTGGGGGGTTGCTGAGAATACAGATGTAAGGTATGAATGATGTTAGCAAATGTAGTGAGATAAGAAACCAATATCCCTGTTAAGTCCTGGGGGTTCTGTGGGGTTTTTTTGGCCCCCTGCAGGGGATTTTTTATTGCATTTTCTATAAACTACAAAGAAACAAAGAGGGGTAACTACAAACTACAGGTGAAAGTAAAGAGAACCACTAAAAACCCAAGAGGTGGTGGTCATATATTGCTTACAATATTAGCTTAAAACCAGGACTTCTTCGAACATATATATATACTATCTCATCTCCCCTTCCTTTATTACAATCTTTATCTTCTTCTCCTAATGGTCCATATTATTACAGCAAGTCTAACCAGCCTTAAAAGCAGTTTCAGTTCTTTCCTTTTAGGGCCTAATTTTCTTCTGGAGACTCTGTCCATAATCACTGGGCAAATTTTCTTCTTTATGTATATTGGGTATAAGTCCCTTCGCTTTACTTCGCTTTCAATCTGCAACTGGTCCCAAAACATCATTTATAGCTTATTGAGGATTCTCCTGTCTTCATAGCGCTTGTCTTTGGAATCATGTAGTTAATTGTAGATTGTTGGCTCTGTTCATTAACAAGTATCTTTTTTTTGGTACCAGTAGGGGTCACCATAACAGTTCACAATTTGGTAAAGTTTGTGGTATTCAGGTCACCTGACCTGACCAGCCTCTCACTTCCTGAAGGAGGCTTAAATTCCATCTCACTTTCTCCGCTTTTGATCGCCATTTTTGGGGATGTTTACTTTTCTTTTTTTTTAATTGCAAAAGTCTCGAATGTTTGCCTTTCACTTGGACGCTTCTTGCTTATAGCTCCGTCCCCCCCAGAGGATGCTCTGAATTCACTTTGTTGTCTGGGGGGAGAGTTCCCCCCCCCACTTAGTAGGGGAGGACTGCAAGCCATCACTCTGATGTTTCATTTCAACTTTACTCACTTGTCATATGTAGATCAAGTAGATATCGCCAACAGGTATGCTTATTTACCGCCCGACCTCCAATCGCTTGATGGGATATGCATAGCTTAGTCCTTGCAGGAACACAATGGAGAGACCATCGGGGCAAAGGAATGCCTCAATCCACTGGCAGCATGCCGGGGGAGAGGCGATCTTCAGCGCCCCATTGCAAGGATCCCCAGGGAGTGTGCACATTCGCAGCCCCTCTGTAACTGCTGGTTTGCAGGCCGTGTCCCTGGGAGCCCCCAGGAGACACAGCTGCCATCAGTTCACCGAAACCCCGCCTCCGGGGTTCCATTGTTCTGAGTGTCATAAGTACCTGTAACTCAGCAATTTCCCTTTCTAGTTTGTTCCTGAAGTTCCTTTGCAGTAAAATAGCTACTTTGAGGTCACTAATTGAATGTCCTGGAAGGCTGAAGTGTTCTCCTACAGGTTTCTCAGTCTTGTAATTCTTGATGTCAGATTTGTGTCTATTGACCTTTTGGTGTAGGGTGTGACCTGTGTTGCCCTATGTAGAGAATTGAAGCATTTAATGGCATATACAATGTTAGAAGATGTCAAATGAATGAGCCTGAGATGGTAGTTGTTGTTAGGTCCAGTGACTGCATCTTCTTGGTGTTATGTGGCAGCAAAGTTGGCATCTGGGTTTATTGCAAGCTCTGGTACCAGTGTCCATGTTCAAATTAGATGTTGTATTATTATAAGTGAGGAGATGTTTAAGATTGGGAGGCTGTCTGAGTGCTAGAAAAGGTCTGCTCTCCAGTGTTTGTGAAAGAGAACTGTCATTATTCAGTAGGGGTTGTAAGTCATTGATGATGCGCTGATTTGAGTTGAGAGCTGTATGTGATTACTAGTGGTGTTCTGTTATTATCTCTTTTAGGCATGTCTTTTAACAGGCTTTCTCTGGGTATCATTCTGGCTTAGTTAATCTGTTTCTTGACTTCATCAAGGGGATATTTTAGTTCCAAAAGGGTTTATTGTAGAGAAGCTCTGTCTGTAGGATTGGAACAGATGCAAATGTAGGATAGAACCTCGCTATAGACAACAGATTATTTGGTATGTTTAGGATGGTAGATGGATGCATGTAGAGATGTTTGTCGATCAGCTGGTTTCCGGTATAAGGTGGTGTCTATGTGTCTGTTATGCGTTTGTACAGTTGTGTCCAGAAAATGTATTTCTTGAATAGATTGGTTTATTGTCAGATTGATGGCAGGGTGAAAGTTGTTGAATGCCTGGTGAAATTTGTCCAGGGCTTCTCTACCATGTGTCCAGACAGTTAAAAATATCAACAATGTAACATACGTATAAGAGAGGTGTGAGTGGGCAGGAGTTTAGGAAGCATTGCTCCAAGTTGGCCATAAAGATGTTAGCATACTGTGGTGCCATGTGGGTGCCCATGGCTGTACCATTAATCTGAAGGTACAAGTTATTACCAAATCTGAAGTAGTTATGGGTGAGAACAAAATGGCAGAGTTTGGTTGCAAGGTCAGCTGTGGTGCTGTCTAAAAGCATATTTCTTATATTTCTTGTGGCTTGTAATCCATCTTTGTGTGGGATGTTGGTGTACAGAGACTCCATATCCGTAGCGATAAAAATAGTATTCTCTGGGAGGCTATTCAAAGATTGTATTTTCTTCAGGAAATCTGTGGTGTTGTGCATATAACTATGAACATTAATGGCAGTGTGTCTTAGAATAGAGTCCACGTATCCAGATACTTCCACAATAAGAGTGCCTATGCCTGAGACAATGGGGCATCCTGGGATGCCAGGTCTGTGTATTTTCTGTAGAAGGTAAAAGGTACTTGGTCCAGGTTCCTGCGGTGTGTCTGAAAGGATTTTTTCCTGTAAGAATAGGGGTAATCCCTTCATAATCTTGTTTATATTTTTCCCATTCATGTGTGGGATCTGAGGATAGTTGCTTGTAAAAAGCAGTATTTGTAAATTGTCTTTGAGCCTCCTGGGTGTAGTCTGATTATGACAATGGCTCCACTTAAGCATTGCTCATATGGCATCAAATTGCTTTACACTGGGAGGTAATCCCTTCTGCTGGTATAGTCCTTATAGTTACTATGCA